CAACAGCAGTTAACAATGTGGGCTTTGGAATCAGACTCTAAGAAAGTTACTTTTACACTCTCAGATACAGTTTTTTAAATCTTCAAAACATGCACAATAGCAACTATTATGTAGAGTTGTGGGAAAGATTAACTGGAAAAAGTTTTAATGCACTTAATACTTACAATGTAATCAATGGTGGATTTAGTTTACTTATTTGGTGGGGAGGGAACTGGGAAAGCAGTCCACTAAGGATTCCCTTTGACCAAAACCCAAATGACAAGTTCTCAATTCAGGGCCTAATGCTTGGGTAAAATACAGGAGCAAAATGATCTGACAGTATTAACTGTTCTGGCCAGACCATGATGAGGTGCATCAGTGCTACAGCATAAAACATTTCCCCATCTGAACGTCTCCCCTTCCTCCCTAAAAGGCTGTAAACTCCAAGGGGAGAAGGACTGTCTTTTTCACCAATGTATCTACAGACTTATGATGGTGTCTGCACATGGTCGACTGACTGACTGAATGAATGAATGATCACAGCTTACTTTTCTAGTTTCTCTAGCCTGGCCAGTTTCATACTCCCAGCAGTGCCCATATTGAGGTGGAAGGAGGAATGGGTTACAAGGAGAGTAGGAATATCCAAGAATGGTTGCTCTCCTGTCTTAACAACGGGGTGGTTCAGGGAACCCAGGTCTTTCCCCAACTCCTCACCTGAGCAGTTCGTGAAGCGGATGTGTGTGGCAGAAAGACAAACGGATCTCCTGAAGGGTGTCCATCTGCCCAAGATGGGCAAGAAAAGTCCCAAAGCTTCTCCTCATATAAGATGTAAAAGGGATGTGAGACAAACTAAGGCTGTGGAGGTGGGTCATCTGAGCCAAAAGTCTGGTGAGTTCACTCAGATAAATCTCATCCACTTTCAGGTGATCAATGCATTCCATATCCAGAAGCTGCAGGATGTGTTCATGGGCAAGCCTTCTATAGATTTTCAAATCTCTGCAGCAGAGGTGCAAGGACCCAAAGCTCTGCTGTACTTTATTCCGAAGTAAAGAAAGAAATCGCTGTGTTCTCAAGGTACCATCTAGGGAAATGTCCACTAATAATTCCACAGGTTCCCTGGATGACTGAGGCTCAGGCTCTGAATTTACAATTCCAGGGCACCTAACTCTGTGCTGGGCTTCTTCTATTTTCATGATAGAGTGCTCAGAGTGAACACATGAACGAAAACAGATCTGCATATGGTCCAGTGACTGACTGAATGAATGAATGATCACAGCTTACTTTTCTTGTTTCTCTAGCCTGGCCAGTTTCATACTCCCAGCAGTGCCCATATTGAGGTGGAAGGAGGAATGGGTTACAAGGAGAGTAGGAATATCCAAGAATGGTTGCTCTCCTGTCTTAACAATGGGGTGGTTCAGGGAACCCAGGTCTTTCCCCAACTCCTCACCTGAGCAGTTCCTGAAGCGGATGCGTGTGGCAGGAAGACAAACGGATCTGCTGAAGGGTGTTCATCTGCCCAAGATGGGTGAGAAAAGTCCCAAAGCTTCTCCTCATACAAGATGTAAAAGGGATGTGAGACAAACTAAGGCTGTGGAGGTGGGTCATCTGAGCCATAAGGGTGGTGACTCGACTCAGATAAATCAAATCCACTCTAAGGTGACCAATGCATACCATATCAAGAAGGTGTAGGATGTGTTCGTGGGCAAGCCTTCCATGAATTTGCAAAGCTCTGCAGCAGAGGTGCAAGGACCCAAAGCTCTGCTGTACTTTATTCCGAAGTAAAGAAAGAAATCGCCCTGTTCTCAAGGTACCATCTAGGGAAATGTCCACTAATAATTCCACAGGTTTCCTGGATGACTGAGGCTCAGAGTCCGAATTTACAAGTTCGAGGCACCGAACTCTGTTTTGGGCTTCTTCTAGTTTCATGATAGAGTGCTGAGAGTGAAGACATGAACGAAAACAGAAAGGGAATGTGGTGCTGATCTCAGAGCATGTGGTCCTGCAGCCTGGGTCCTGCCTTAAATCTAGAATCCTCAGTATTTGCCCCCTGTAAGGAGAGGAGGAGACAGAATATCTGAGAGGTAGCTGATTTTAATACAACCCAGCAGGATCAATGATGGGAAGCTGAAACAAAATCCCTTTATCCCTGGTCTTCACTCCATACACCATTTACCAAGAAGGCCTTTTCCATAAAAATTTAGCACCTTTCTTTCTTTTCCCCATCTTTTCTTCTCTCCTGATGATCCCAGTCTCAATGCCCATGTCCTTTTTCCATGTAATCATACCCAGGAGGCAAATCTATTAACAGTATCCTCAATCCCTTCTGCTCCATAATGAACTCTGTCAGATATTAGAGTCCTTAAGGTGACCCCAAATGTTCCACCAACAGCCTCACAGAGATCTTCAGCATTCACCATTAATGACCTTTGAAAGACTGTTAGGCCCTCTCCTTCCCCAGGCTCCAGCATACCCTCCTGCTGACTCACTATGTCTCTATTATACATAGTCTTACCAAGAAGAAGAGTCCCGGGCAGGCAGGATCTGCAGACCGTCAATCATAGCTTCGAAATTGTCATATTGTGACTCCCGTACACTCAATGTCCCGACGTGGAGACAGGGAAAGGGCCAAATCCTCACCATTGCCTTCAGTACGTTCTTATGACCGCCCAAGAAGGCGGCAGTGAACAACGGAGCTAACATGCCTCTTGGGAGCTCTTCAAGGGCATGGATAGCTGCACGCTCATTACTCAGTAGACTTCGTGCAGCAAGCTCTAGTAGTGTGGCTGGGGACTTTTGGTCCATCTCTATAAACCTGCTTCAGAGTGAAGAATAGTTAAAAATCCTGAGAAGACATCCACAGTCCCTTATTTGCCACCAAGGTTAGCAGTGGACAAAATATTTATTGAATAAACACTCGGTTATTTCAGAATGTGTATGAAAAGATCCGTATTATCTTTTAATTCTGTTTTTCCATGAACTTTTTGAATTACCCTTGTATATGGAGAATCAGGCAGCCACCTCAGGAGACCTACACTATAGAAATAGAATAGGAATAGACTTGAGTGTATGTATAAGTGTTTATGTTTGTGTATGCCTTCATATATATATACATATTGACATAAGGTAAAATGTCAGTAGAAATCAGGGGTAAGTGAGCAGAAGACAACATTGACCATCTAGCTACCTGCCTCTCAATACTTCCTTCCAAAATGATACAAATCAACAAGAAAAAACAAATGTAAATCTGTCCAAATCACATCCTCATCATCATTTAGAAACAGATGACAAAACTTCAAAATAATTGTGAGTAAAACGAGAAAAAGCACAAAATTCCAGCACATGATCTGTCACACGCTCATCCGTGGGCTTAGTGCAAGCAAAGACAAACCAAGAAGAGCTGCAAGAGATACTGAGGAAGAAAGATGGCAAGCTTAAAGGTGATCTAAAAGTACGGCCAGAATGACTAGGCCCATAATAAGTCTGAAAATAACAAAAAGGTATCCCGGAAGATAAGAGCAGGGTCTATAGCGAAGAGACTTCAAAATATGTGCCATTTAAAGAGGTAGGGAAGACTTACAAGACTTAAAAATAGCTTAACAGTGTTATAACACCAAAGTCAAGGGTTTGGATCCCCATATCAGCCCATCCCCCACCGCCCCTCCGAAAAAAAGGAAGAAGAGAAAAGGCAATGGGCTTAGTGGCAAGCAAAGACAGACCAAGACGAGCTGCAAGAGATACTGAGGAAGAAAGATGGCAAGCTTAAAGGTGATCTAAAAGTACGGCCAGAATGACTAGGCCCATAATAAGTCTGAAAATAACAAAAAGATATCCTGGAAGATAAGAGCAGGGTCTATAGAAAAGAGACTTCAAAATATGTGCCATTTAAAGAGGTAGGGAAGACTTACAAGACTTAAAAATAGCTTAACAGTGTTATAACACCAAAGTCAAGGGTTTGGATCCCCATATCAGCCCATCCCCCACCGCCCCTCCGAAAAAAAGGAAGAAGAGAAAAGGCAAGGACGAAGGGTGAAGCATCCTTTGGCATTTAGTAATGATGGGGAAAGGAAGCAAAAAGGGAAAAGAAAAGTGCTCTTGCAGGACATGAGAGAACCACAGATTCAGAGCACTCAAAACTTCTCCATCTGCCAAGAAAACAAGCAAGGAAAAGGGCTTAAAGGCCTGCACTTTGCTGTACCGACAAAACATGGCATGGTTAAAGTAGGATATTTGGAAAACAAACCAATATGATACAAATAAACAAAAGGAAAAAAAAATTCGGTACAAAAACATTCTTAAAAAAAGATGAGGAAACAAAACTTCAAACAAAGCAAACAACCATAAAGCAGAAAGGAACTAAGTGAACAGTTCAAACAGAATTAATTATATTCAAACAAGCATTTGAGGATATGAGACAAACCTTGGATCAGAATATTTATAAAAATATAAAAATAGAAATGGACTAAAAAGCTTCTGCACAGCAAAAGAAAAAATTAACAGAGTGAAAAGACAACCGACAGAATGGGAGAAAATATTCACAAACCATGAATCCCACAAGGGATTAATATCTAGAATATACAAGGAACTCAAACAACAGTAAACACAAACAAACAAACAAAAAAATCCAACTAAAAAATGGGCAAAGGAGCTGAATAGGCATTTCTCAAAGGGAGATACACACATGGCCAACCTACACATGAAAAAACGAATGCTCAACAGCAGTAAGCAGCAGGGAAATGCAAATCAAAACCACATTGAGATATCACCTCACACCAGTTAGACTGGCCAGAATCAGAAAGACGGAGAATAACAAATGCTGGAGAAGATGTGGAGAAAGAAGGGCCCTCCTACACTGTTGGTGGGACTGTAAGTTAGTGCAGCCCTTACAGAAAACAGTACGGAGGTTCCTAAAAGAACTAGAGATAGAGCTGCCATATGATCCAGCCATCCCACTGTTGGGTGTATACCCAAAGGAATGGAAATCATCATGTCGAAGGGATACCTGCACTTCCAAGTTTATCGCAGCTCTATTTACAATACCTAAGAGTCAGAAGCAACCTAAATGTCTACTGACAGATGACTGGGTAAGGAAAATGTGGTATATAGACATAATGGAATACAAGTCTGTCATAAAAAGGAGTGAGATTCTGCCATCCACAGCAACATAGATGAACTTAGAGAAAACAATGTTCAGTGAAATAAGCCAGACTTACAGAAAGAGAAATACCACATCTCCTCACTCATAAGCGGTAGCTGAAAAAAGAAAGGAAGGAAGGAACAAAGATGCAACAATCACAAAAATTCCTTGAACTCTCAAAAGGAGAGGACGGAACTGAGGACACCAGTGGTGGGAAAGGGGGAGGGGGAGGAGAGGTTAAGGAGGAATTGGTAAAGGGCCACAAAAAAAATGTTTACATTGTGTAATGATAAAATTTTTTTTAAAAAGTCTGAAGTAAAGATTTTACATCCAGCAGGGCTGACCCTTCAAATATCACAGCTTATAGAAAAACAGTTTTCAATAGACAGGAACTTAGGAGATTCTGCACCCCTCAACCCTATCTGAGGAATCTACTGGAGCAGGGGCCTGTAAACTGTGGCTCATGGGGTAAAATACAGTCCAGTTCTTGGTTTTGTAAATAAAGTTCTATTGGAACACAGACATGCTCATTCATTTATATCTTATCTATAGATGTTTTTGTTCTGCAATGACAAAGTGGAGTAGTTATGACAGAGACCCCATGGTCCACCAACTAAAAATATTAGCTATATGGCTCTTTACAGGAAAAGTTTGCTAACATTCTAAAGAAGACCTGGGATTTTGATTCCGCATGTGATGGCAGAGAAAACATTTTTAAATTACAGATAGCGCAGTGGAATAATAGATGAGAAAACCAAAAAATACAACCCAAGTACAAATACATATGGAAATTAGCATATGATAAAGGTGGCATGTAAAATCATTAGGGCAAAGATGGTCATTGATTAAATGGTGCTGGAGCAATTGAGACATTAGGAAAAATAAAAGTAGACCCATACAATACACCATACACAAAAGTAGACTGCACATGTGTCAGGGATCTGAACATAAAAAATGCAAAGATACGAGTTCTTGAAAAAAATATGGCGGAGCTCTTCTTTTACCTCAGTGTAGGGAAAGGCATCTGACTATGATTCAAATTCCAGAGGCAATGAAAGAAAAGAATAACTGGTTAGACCACATAAATACGAAAGAAAGTGTTGCAAAAAATACATCATAAATAAATCAAAACACAACTGAAAAACTGGGATAAAGTATTTGCAGCATATACCTCAGACAAATGGATAATATTCCAAATACACATATAGAATTCTTAAATATTGAATGACAAAATGACCAAAAACTGGATCGAAAAATGAGGAAAAGACATGAATGGACAATTCATGCAAAAAAAAAAAAAAAATATATATATATAGAAACAGTCCTCAAACATGATGTGTCAAAACTTACTCACCAACAGACAAAAACATACATTAAAACAACACCGTGATACCATTTCTCACCTAACACATAGGCAAAAGTTTAAAAGGTAAGGCCACACATTCTGTTAGTGAGGCTGTGGGGAAACGGTCATTCTCATAACATTGCTAGTAGAAATGAAAACCAATACGGCACTTCCAAAGAGAAATCTGGAAATGCCTAAAGAAACTAAAGAAACTACATATGCACCTAACTTTTAGCCTAATAATCTCACTACTGGACATATACTTCGAAGATGCATTTCACCAGTACAAAGTTATTTGTGCCCAAGGTTATTCATTGAAGCATTGTTTGTAGCTGCAAAATGCTGGAAACACATTAAAAGCCCACATATAGATGAGTGGTTGAATGAAGTATAGTACAGCCATGCAATGGAGTCCAGTGTAGCTGTAAGAAAAAGAATGATGAAAATCTGTATGACACGGTGTGGGGTGATTTCAGGAATGCTTTTAAATGACAAAGGCAAAATGGAAAGAAATATGAATAGTATGCTATCCTTTGTGTGAGAAGGGAATATAAGAAAACATGTATGTATCTGCTAATTGGTGCAAAATAAATACAGAAAAGATTGAACCAGAAACCAAAGAAATTGGTTACCCTGTGGGGGAAGGTGGGAAAGAAATAGCAAGAAATGGGGAATGGGAATGAGGTAGAAGGAATGAGGAAGAAGCGATACTTCTCTGAGTACACTTGGTTTCTGTATAGGCCTGACTCTGAATCATAGTAACATTTCTATCCAACATATACGTAAACAATTAAAATCAACCAGCGTATTGGGGAAAAACACAAAGTCCAATACAAGTAGCAGCAAAGTCAGCTAACTGTATTACAAATGATTAATTTATCCACACTGAAGGAGTGAGGAAGAAAATATTGAAATGAGGAAACTTTGGAAAACCATATTTTGAAAGTATCTTCTAAGGCTGAAGATGAAAAAAAACTGTACACAAATACAAGTTAGTAAATCTGTTTCTAACAGGGGTATTGGTTAGTAATTCTGAAGCTATGTGTACACACACCAGGAATGAACAAATAAGTAAACGCATCATAGATAATGAAAGCCAGGTCAGAGAACGAATTTACAGATAAGGCTAGAATGGACTGGAATCAGAAGTATCAGTATGAGTTCCTGGCTTTTAATATCTATACAAATATGTAGATGCAGAAATAAACATACATGTATCTATAAGCATGGGAATGTACATACAATATATTTCCTACCTCTGTCCGTGGAGAGAGCCTAGCAGCAATGAAATTTCGGTAACAATTAACATTCACGGAAATACAGGTTTCTAAATATTATTCTCCCAGGAAAG